GGTCAATAGGCTGCGGTTCACCGGGCATGGGTAATGCAGGCTGCGATCGCCGTGTTATCAGAAGACACCCTGCCCGAGGCGGGGACGTAGTTCATGATGTGCTGGTCATCCAGAGAAAGGTTTCGCTACTAAGGAGGTTCGGATGTCGAGATAGATCGTAGATGGAATTGTAACTAGGTACAAGTGAGGAGGCAAAGGCCGACAAGGGCCGGAGAGGTGGAATGAAAGAGGTTGGAAATGTACAAGGAGGAAAAGAAACAAGAAGGACAAGAAGGTGTAAGGTCGTTCAAGTTTGGACCCAAGCGCCTTAGTTGGGCAAAGGCAAATGCAGAGAGACCTTGGTATGAGGTGCTCTTGGACAGCGGCAACGGGTGATGGTGACAGAAGGGTAGAACCTAAGGCAGATAGGTCACTGATGCCCGGACGTTGTGATGAGGCAAGCCGTGACTACCTTAGGTAAGGTGAGGCAAAGGGTACTGGTTGACTGGGCCGTACAGACGTACAGACGGGAGGCAAAAAGGAGGTCTGCCTCAGACACAAAAGCATGAGCATGAGCATGAGCAGAGCAACGAAGCATGCCGCAATGAAGAGGAGGAAAGGCGGGACACAGGCATCCAGGTCACTCCCATCCACTCCCAGCCAAGCAAATGCACTAGAGATTGGTTCCCCCCACTGCCTCTAACAGCGCGTGACTCTGGCCGGGTTCACGTCACCGTCACCGACAGGGTGTGCAGGGGTCCTCTATCAGTTGACTTGCTCCAAAATGGCCTTTATCGATAAGGTGGGGTGGCAGTGGGAGGAATGACCGTGGCTGAAGCCGATAGGATGGTTTGATGTTGGGGGGACCAGACAAGCATCACTGGGGGCCACTGGGGGCCACTGGGAGGGGAGAGGAGGGGCTTCAGGTCATCGCTTGTGACTGTGAGGAATGTCCCCTCCATAGCCGTGCGTCTGTTCCACCTGATTGATGCAGAACCCGCCACGCCTTATTCCCATCTCAGTACGTACCTTACCTCTATGCCTAGGGTACAGGTTGTCTCCAAACACCAAACACGAACACAGAGACTACATCACCAGAAACCTATCTCGAACAGGTCTCTTCTATCATGGTCTATTCTATCGGCTCTGAAATACCTCGCTTAGCATCCCAGTCATGAGCATGCTTCAGTCAGTCTTGGGGTTTGGCAAATTGGGTACCCAAAAGCATACATACCTGCCTTATTACATAAGGTACTCTGTCTTTCCCTTCTGCATGTGAAGTTGCCATGAGAGAGTGGCAGACAGGCCCCACGTTCCACAGCCATCGATGTCTAACACCTATTCCTGACGTCTTGACCAAATTTCAACACAATCCCCATTACAAGACTCGGAATCAACAAAGAGAAGAAAACAAAGACAGAGAAACGATGTCCTGCCAAGTGTTACCTCAGCCTATTTCATCAGAGTGACATTGTTTCAGGCCATCAGCGCTCAGATGCAAATCCAGAAGTACAAAGTCTTCGCCCCAAAAAAATATACTTATTGTAAATAATTCGTTAAGAATCAAATGACAGCCGTCATCGTCGTGGGTCGTTGCATCTACAACAAAAGAGAATGCAGCACCAAAGGCACCCCGGTACGGAGAGGCCCTGGCCAGAATGCAAGATACCACCAGTGACTCCATCAACCACCAGGCCATGCAGGATGCGCCGTATGAATCGCCCAATTCCGAGCCATATAACCACCACATCAAGGCTGAGCGCGAGACGACTCGTTCAGCATCCCGATTACTGTTCCTCTTCCAGAGTTTTGCTGCTCGCCCGCCCATGGGCCTCGGCAACCCTTCGGCCGACACTCTCACCGCTCCAGTAAGCTCCCGTCGCCGTCCCTAGCGCCACGAACGGCGCCGTGTGTTCGCCCGCCAGCCACAGACCGCCTTCCGGTACGCCTTCCCGCATCGCCTCAATGTCCTTGTTGCCCTCCAATAATCCGGTTGGGAAGTTGCTGTAGCTGCCGTTGCCCGCCAAATCGTCTCGCAGCCAGTCTGTCGACAGACTCCCCGTCGGCTTGCAGTCGGGCGAATTCTCGTCGTAATGTGGCAGACGGGAGTAGTAAGGCTTGAAAAAGTCATACAAGAAATAGTTTCTTTCCGGTATCGTCTTCAACCTCGACACGCCTTCGGTAATGTACTTGGACTCGTCTCCGAAAATGTAGAACAGGAGCGTCGGGTGCGAGTTCTCGCCCATCGAGGCAAGATCAACAATTTCCTGGTTCCATCTCTTTGGGTTCGTCTCTTGAGCATATGTCGGCGCAAGCCATTGGCAGAAGCCCTGCACCACGCGGCCCTCTGCGTCGGGCTCGAGCCAAAACGCTTTGGGGAAGCTGATGTATACCTTCTCCAGGCATCCATATCCGATGGCTTGGATTCCACGCTCGACTCTCTCAGGGAGCGGTGGTTCGAATGCTTGAAGGTTCTTCTTCAGCCAGCCCAAGGGTGTCGTCATGACGACGTCGTCAAACTCCAAAATCTCGCCCGTATTGGTGTAAACCCTCGGTTTCGGCCGCTCCTCGGTTTTGAGCTCTACCTTGGTAACGATAGTATCGTACTTGACATCGGCATTGTGCCTGACGGGCTCTGCAACTCTCTCAAAGATTTTTTCGTATGTACCAGCGCAGAACAAGTTTTCTTCCGCAAGTTAGCCAGAAGTCTGCAGGACTTCAGATCAGAATAATTCTCACCTCCGTCTATGCATTCCTCAAGCCAAAAGAACTTCAGACTTTGGGTTGTGATTGGACTGCCGGAAAAAGCACCCCAGAGCTCTGCAATCTGGAGAACGGTTTTTCGCTTTTCAGCAAAGTTCTCCTCGGTATCGGGAATTTTCTCAATCACTCTTTCCTGGAAGAAGTCCCAGAGACTCTCATCAGGATGTATAGTAGCCGTGTTCTTGTTAGAGTGTTGGAAGGCGTCCTGGACAATGTCCCACATCAAACTCGAATAGATCTCGCTCTCGTCCAGTTTAAATAAGTTTCCTGAATCATCAAACACATACGACCGGTGATCCCAGCTTCCCACGGCCGTTCCAGTCTCTTTGGCCAAGTCATTGATGGGGTTGTCGTCTGTGCCGTGGATCCAATTCGGACCGAGGTCTACAGTGTGGCCGTTGGGTAGTGTTTCCTGGAACATACGCCCTCCAAGTCGCTCTCGGCCCTCAATAATGGTCACCAGCAGGCCATGTTGAATCAAGATATCAGCGCAGCGCAGACCGGCGAGGCCAGCACCGACGACAGCAATATGGGGTTTTGGGCCCGACTCTGATTGTTTGCGCTGTGACGTGTCAGGAGGAAATTGCCTTGACGAACATTGACAAGTAATTTTCGTCTTGTACACTGAGGCGTGTATACTAGCAAAGGTACGGTCGTGGTACGAATCGGACGGGTTTGCCCATCGCGTCAAAAGAGACAGTCGGTGGCCCCGGCCCGAGGCGTCCCACTAATGGTCTTGGGCACGTGTTTGACAGGAAGCAGCAGACTTACCCGCAGAAGTGAGTCCATGGTCAGCGATCTAAGCAACAGCTTGTCTTGTCCGGACCCAAAAAGGCTTTGGGCTCGGCAGGACTCTAAATCCTGGTAAATGCGAGATGTGCTCCGGTTGGCAGGGCTGGTGTAAGAGACTGAGTAAGCGTCCATGGCGGCAAGTATTCGAGGAAATGCAACAGAAAGAGAGTGAGGGTATTGTGGTAGTATTTGACAATCTGGTCACGAAAGTTGATTGATTGGGGGAAGCGCGGGCGAACTATGCCGCAACGCTGCTGGTTCAGTGCTGATCCACAGCAGAAATAAGTGAAGTCACAGGATATGAGCCCGCGTCTGGTTTTGTGAGAGCCCCAGACTGAGTGAGACAGAGAAAAAGGAGCTATTGCGATCTTGTGGGCTGGGGGAAGAGGTCAGGTGGAAGAGGCAGCAGAAGGATTGTGGGGAGGAGAAGGGGGAGGAGGAACGTGGTGAAATGTCTAGCTCGCAGCAGCTAAGACGTTCTGGTCAGGATCCAGGGTGGTAAAGTTGATATATAACAGGACCCGTGGATCTGGGTGCAGCGGCCGGGAAGGTTAAGCGCGAGGATAGTCCAGATAAGGTATGGTGAAGGTGACGGATTCCCCATGTAGGTTGTAGGTTGATGACGGAAGTGCCTTTGATTAAGCCAAGGTATGCGCCATGTAGTAGTACCGATTGGAGGTGAGATTGATACCTTGCGTGGCTGAACAGGTTTATGAAAGACATGAAAGGCGCATCGGACGGAGAAGGTGGCGGAGGAAGGAAGATACTGGGAACATTGGATGTTTGCCATTCCAGAATCTGCAGCTTGCCAAAACCACTTTAATCTTCTTTCTTCCGACAAAGGTTGTCATGCAGATGCTGTTCAACGCACAGCAAGTTCCAACTACACCTCCAGATCACCTTCCCCCTCTTGAGGCAATGCCAGTAACAAGTAAGTACTCGGGACTGTCGCCGACTAGGCTCGCGTAGAAGCGGCGTAATAGATGGTTCATACAAGTAGTTGGGGGTAGACGCCGTTGTATTCCGACAGGACGCTTTTGTGCATTTTGGCTCAACTTGTAATCAAGCCGCCAGCACGTGGAACGTAATGACGCTTGCCCACGACCGGTTCAGCGACACCATTGCTCTTGAGGCTTTCCGCGGGGAAGAATTGACGGTTGGCTGCACTAAGTACACCATTGGGAGACGACGTAGGGCAGTTTCGTGTTTGTGTAACGGAGAAATGAGGGGCGGCAAAGAGAGAACTGAAAATTGAACTGAGGAAATTGAGAGGTAGAGGGCAGTGTGAACAAGATACTAAGGAGAACATCGGCATCGACGATGAGAACTTAGAACTTACAATGCAATACACGATCGGGCGGGAGACTGCACGCGCGCTAAGCCTCGATATCATCCGGGATAACGAAGGAAAGAGGCAGAGAAGAACGAGGGCGTGGGCGTGGACGTAAAAGAAGTCGCAGACGCAGATGCAGACGAGAAACGCCCAGGGAAGACGGGAGAGAGAGAGAAGCCCGGATGAGAGAATGGGAGAAAGTCGAGGTTGCTGGTTTGGTTCCAGTTTGGATTTTCGGTGAGCTGCAGCTCCCGTCATGAATTTTTTGGCAGTCAACCTGGGCGTTCAGGGTCTTTCCTGCTGGGTCTTGGTCTTGGGTCTTGGGTCAGATCCCAGTTGCCAGGAAAGGGCGGGATCGGATAATGAAAGTTGTACTGGTGTGCGGTGGAACTGAAAATGGTGGAACCTCGTGGGAAACCCGTCAGGTAGACGGCGCAAAAGCGTTCCGTCGTGAGAAATGAAAATGCTACTTGGCTAAGGTGCCTACCAACTCCGTACACTTCCACGAACAGCAGGGAAGGACTACCTACCTCAAGGTACCTCAGATGATACCTTCCGTGCTTTCCGTATCGAAACTCCGTACCTTCCTTAGAGAAACTGCGCCTAATAGAGAATGGCAGGAATGGCAGAGAATGAAGGAAGGTGTGGACGAAAAGGAACGAGGGGCACTTTCTCCTTGGGACCGGTGACACTTCACTGCTCCTTCTCCACCAACAGCGTCATTCCTCCACCTTAATCTCCATCCAACTCTCTCCGCTCCTTTTTTTTTTTTACTGCGAGAGAAGTACCCTTCCACCCTTCCACGCTCTCCCCTTCCACTTTGTCACCACCGCATCCCTCTCCGCCGCCTACCTGAACCTCTCCTCGACTGACACACGTCCTGTTATGCCCACCCTGTCACGACGCCGACCAACTGACTCGATGCTCTGCCAGGAATCGCACTGAAACTGCAGATAAGAGGAGCCGACGATACCCTCAAGCTTTCTGACCTACCTTGACAGCAAACACAATGCCAAGTGCCAACATCCAACTTGCTGCATCTTTTCCTCAAAGGAGCCACACCTGATGCTGATAGGCCCTTTTACACGCCCAATCGGGCCTTGCTGACCGCGACTAAGACACATTGCCGCCGATCATGCCATCTTTCTAGATTCCTTCTATTACTGCGTACCCTCTAGTTCTTCGAGGTGCGGACCACGGACTACCAATCCTCCTTCCCACTTGCCGGGCCTGACCAGACAGAGCCTCATCCCAAAGGTCACGATGCATCCGCCATCATCACTCGTCCTACTTTTCTTTCTACTAGTGCACATCGGTGCCGGCCAGCCGCAGGATGACAGCCAGCCATTCCAGCCACCACCACCCGCAGACACCTCAGAGAATCACCTGTCATGGCAATCTGCCTTTTGGGCCCTCCTCGCCCTTGTCCTCAATACCGCGACCCAACCGTGCGGGAAGATCTGCGGGTTCCCCTCGGAATGGGGCTTTTGCCTCAGGTGGTCGCCCGTTGTCTGCGTCATAAACTCACTTGAAGCCCTCAGCTGCCTCCGCCTCCACCGTCACGACTCTAAATGGACTCTGGTTGTCGCACCGCACAAATACGACACAGAAATAGATATCTCCCATAGTGACGTGGCCAACTTGCAGCGCAACACTTTGATCCGTATTGTCGCCTTCATCTTGGGCCCTCTATTACAAGCAACCAAATTGTACGCTTGCTGGGGCACCTTCTGGGTTCAATTTCTAGCATCCATCTATCTCGCCAGTTTCCTCTGCGATGAGTTGTTGCTCGGCCTTGTATGGATAGCCGGACCCGCGGAGAGCCGGAACAGGGTCATCGGGCTGGTCGAAGCCGTTGCGGGGAGTCGAATCCGTCCTCCGGTCCACTTCCCGCTCCTTAGACTTGGGAGCGGTGCGGCTATGGACGAGAACGACCAACTTCGAGACAGCCACACAAATTTGAGACAAGCTCTGGCCATTATCGCCTCCCACTTGCTGCTAGGATGGTTTTTGGTCGAAACTATTACCGGAGCATACATGACGCACTTTCATGCCGTTATATTTAGCATGCTCGGAACGACTTTTCTTGGCAGCATCGTGTCAGGTATCCTTTGCGGCTTGCGTTCCTACAAAAAGCATCTTTCGATGCCGCAAGTCTTGTTAGACGCCCTGTATGGCGTTGGAAACGTCATATGGCCAACTGGACTTGTGCTTGCCATAGGAGAAAAGTGCCAGGAGCTGGCAGTGATACAGGGCAACGGTATCATAGACTTCAACGCCCAAGGCTCTGCCAGTCAATGGGCCTGGAAAATCGGAATGGTCCTGTGGACTCTGGAGATATCCCGATGGGCCCGGTTGCACCTCACAACTAGCAATCGATACGGGATCCCAAAGCCCGTGGACGTCATTCTTCCACTCTGGGCGAGTGCGCATGTTGTGGTTGCACTGGCCATGTTTAACTTTGCGTATGATCCGAGTCGTACCTACAAACCGGCTTGGACCGATGTGCTGGGATGAGATCACGCCATGACGAGCCAGGGACCAGCCAAGTAGGAGAAAGCGGACTTACTCGTGTCTACAGTACATAAGCAGGAAAGAAGATGTTCACAAAGGATATATTCGCCTACCTACGACAGTCCGATGTTCGTCAAAGTTATTCGTATGGTCTGATGTCAAGGTCAGCGTGATGTTCGCCGTCTGATCACGGAAGTCACTGAGAGCTCTGGGGCTAACATCTCCAAGCTACGAGTTGCAACATACGCGTTCTTGGTCAATTGTTCTGGAAGGTTGCATTATTGGCAACGTATACCCATGAAGCGCTTGGAGCCTCGTGGCTCATGGTTGAGCCGCTACGTGTGAGCAGACTCGGCCGGATTTTTGTTTACTGAAAGGGGCCCTCCAACCTCGGAATCTCATTATTGACTTGAGGGATGCAACTGTACGGGGGAGACGGCCCCTCTGCGGGGTAAAAGCTTCCCGCCTTTGTGGGGAGCATCAACAGGGGGCTCTGTCGCGTCGCGCAGTCTTTCAGACGTCTCAACCAGCGATCATGTCTACTTTGGAGCAAAGTCTCGCAGCAGTATTTCCCTCGAATTCCCATCAAACGACAAAAGTCAATTTCTATTCAGGGTCTTTTGGTTTCATTGGACTCTGGAGTGATTAGTTAACAAAGTCCGCGGTAGACTCCGAAGTGCAAACACAAAGCTTCTAGTCCTCGACCTGCCCCCGCCGCCCCCGGCCAGGCTAAAATGGCATCCCCCAGACGCCGTCTCATTCCCCAGCCTCCCGCCATCCAATCACAGCTCCGCCGAATATCAGCACGAACCCGGAAGGTCGCCCACGCTCCACAAGAGCCGAGGCTCGCGGCACGATTTCCAGACATAGCTGGACGCCGTCCATTCCCCCTAACCCCCCAGACCGATGTCAACCGAGAGACGCACTGCCTCCTCAACTAGAATGACCTGACCGCCGGGGCGACCTGCTCAAACTCTCTCTTTATCCTCGTGAACCCGCACTCTGGAGAGCCAACCTCATCTCCTCCTCCTTCTACCTCGACGGATATCCCATCTCTCATAGACGAATCGAGCCTCCAATTCGACTGCTAGACCCCGCCGTCAGCTTGTCCCCTCGATTCTTCCTCGTTAGTCCGAATAATAAAGGAGTTCAAGAACGAACTCCAAACCGCCCACCATGGCCGCAAAGACGTTCTCTCGCGACGAGGTCGCAAAGAACAACACGGAGGATTCCCTCTGGTGCATCATCGACTCTAAGGTCTATGATCTGACCGACTTCGCCATGGGTCATCCCGGTGGCGAAGCCGTCCTTCGTCAGGTCGCAGGCCAAGACGCCACAACCCAGTTCTACAACCTTCACCGTCAGGATGTCCTCACAAAGTACGACAAGACCCTCGTCATCGGCACCGTCGAGGGCGAGAAGCCCCAGGTCATCGTCACCGGCCCCGGCGAGCTGTCTCCCGTGCCGTACGCCGAGCCCACTTGGCTTACGCCGCAGTTCAAGTCCCCCTACTTCAACGACTCGCATCGCTCCCTGCAAAAGGCCATTCGCAAGTTCACCGACGAGCACATCACCCCTGTGGCACTTGAATGCGAGGAAAAGGGCGAAGTCATTCCCCAGGAGCTCATTGATAAGATGTCCAAGGCGGGAGTGCTACACATGCGTCTCGGGCCTGGCAAGCACCTACATGGCGTGGACCTCTTGGGCGGCGCCGTTAATGGCGAGGAGTTTGATTACTTCCACGACATGATTCTCAGCCAAGAGATGGCCCGGACCAACTGCCGCGGTTTTCAGGACGGTATGCTTGCGGGTATGACGATTGGCCTGCCTGTCGTTCTCAACTTTGCAAACTCCGAGTCGCTGCGCAAGCGCGTTGCGGATTCGGTTTTCAGCGGCAAAGACAAGATTTGCTTGGCCATTACCGAAGCATTTGCTGGGAGTGATGTTGCAGGCATTAGAACCACTGCGGAAAAGACACCTGACGGAAAACACTATGTGAGTCTACCAACTTTCTGTTCCCATCCTTTTAGGCCACAACCACATCCACCACTCCGCGCAACCATCACAACTCCCTCAACCACAACCACAATAACATTAACGCCACAACACAAGTTGATCATTAACTAATTAAACCATGGAATAGATCGTCAATGGAACCAAAAAATGGATAACGAACGCTACGTACTGTTCGCTTTTTGTTGTTGGTGTGAAGACAGACAAGGGCCTCAGTGTCCTCCTTATAGAGAGAGGCGAAGGGGTTGAGACCAGGCCTATTAAGACATCCTACTCTCCAGCCGCAGGAACAGGTTTTGTAACCTTTGACAATGTCAAGGTCCCGGTAGAGAACTTGCTGGGCCAGGAGAACAAGGGCATCCACGTCATCCTGAGCAACTTCAACCACGAGCGGTGGACCATGGCTTGTAAGTCTTCATCCCCAGTCGTTCCGCCTTTTAGATCCGGATAGTGCTGACCGTTTATCAACTAGGCGCCACAATCCGCCAATGCAGAGCCGTCGTCGAAGAATGTCTCCTGTGGGCAAACCAGCGTCTCGTCTTCGGAAAGCGTCTCATTGACCAACCCGTCATCCGTCTCAAGTAAGTATCCAAATCCCCTTTCTGCAACCCTGACCGTCCACTTACACGTCTGCCCCAAAACAGACTCGCAAAGATGATTGCCCTCGTAGAATCCCACCAATCCTGGCTCGAAACAATCACCTACCAGATGAAC